CAAGGCTATTTCATGGTCTGAAGGGCGTTCGGGAACGGGGCAGGGCGGAATTTTTTAATGTGCCTGTGATGGGAAGGGAATCAATTGGACTTTACTGTCGCTGCCAGAGTGCAGACCAATGGGGCAGGGGATATTTGGGATAATGAAGCTACGCCGTAGGTGCTCAGCGTTGAGGCACTCTGATATCACGCACCAAGGTAGTCAACTCAAGTCTCCTGCACACATCACCAGGGTATCAATCGTTTGTGAATGTATTCTATGTCTCCACTCGTGACTCTTGCGCCTCATGCTACCCATCCCGTCATAACCAAATATTCATAGTCGTGTTTTTGTTCCTCTCAACACCTGCAAACCGCTGCCTCCCAAAAACCGCTCACGAGCTCATATTCAAGCATCCATCTCGGGCGGTGAGTAAGGCGTGGTCAGCATCTCGCTGAACTTTTCCAGCTTCTCCTTGCCGCGGACCTCCTCGACCAGCAACGGCATCTTGACGACGTTGAACTCGTCGTACAGCTCCTCGATCTCGTTGAGGTACTTCTTCTGCATCCTGCGACGGGCCGTGCACTGGTCGCAGTTGCTGCCCTTCTTGGGGAAGAGGAGCTGGTTAACGACGATGCTGTGGGTGTCGATGCCGTAGTTTGCGAGCTCCTGGATCATGCGTTCTGTCTCGTAGAGAGACAGGAACTCGGGGATGCAGACGCAGACGAAAGTCGTCAGGTTCTCGTCCTTGAACTGGGTGTTGACCTCGGAGATTGTCTCGCGCAGCGTCTCGAGCTTCTCCATCATCTCGTTGAGGTTCTGGCCGTTGGGCAGCTGGCCGCCCTGGCCGAGGAAGCCGTTGAGAAGGGGGCCGTACTGCGAGCTGAGCTGTGAGACCTTTGCGAGGGCTTTTTCGAGGACGCTGGGGAAGGAGAGGAAGCGGAGGGTGTGGCCTGTCGGGGCGGTGTCGAAGATGATTGTTTCGTAGGACATTGACTTTACTTGCTTGAGGACTTCGGCGAAGGACATGGCTTCGTCGATACCGGGGATCTGTTTACATAAACCACATTAGAAAACAATTTGCTGCAAATATGCTGACGCATGAAAGGGAAAGCTTACAGCAAATGCCAGATCCTGCATCATGCCACCGAGGCCACCGCTCATGGCATCCACCTCCTCGTTCTGACCCGCGAGAAGGTCCTGCATGCTACCGTTGGGGTCGATCTCCATGGCGCTCAGGTTGGTGAAGCCCTCAATGAGACGGGCTTCCTTGCCGAACTTCTGGTTGAAGGCGTCGGACAGGTTGTGCGCCGGGTCGGTGGAGATGAGGAGGACCGACTTGCGGGCCTTGGCGAGCTGGATGGCGAGGGAGCACGACGTGGTTGTCTTTCCTACACCACCCTTGCCTCCGACAAAGATCCATCGCAGCGACTTTTGGTCGAGGATGGACTGGAGGGTGGGCTCCATCACGTCGTCAGCGTCGATGATGGCGGCCATGATCGCGGTTGAGAGTGTGGTCTGTGGGACGTAGTATACTTGACTCGTTGTCTAGACGCTGCCAAAGGTATGATTCGCGTTCGGCTTATAGGAATTCGCGGTGAGCTGTAGATTGTTTCGCGGGAGTTGCTGAAGATAGGTGTTTAGACGGGAGGCGTACGTCTACGTCTTCCAAGCTGTTCTAGAAGTTCCAGTAGCAGAACGTTGCCTCCCCGCCATTTGGCGGGGCACCCCGGCGCATGGTACCGTGCGCAACTGGGGGCAGACCAGTTTCGACACTGTCAAAGCTCCACCAGAGCTTGACAACTTTGCGGAGCTCCCGTACCGAATTGCGCTCCCCGTTCACGACACGGCGTAGTCAACGGAGTCGCATTCACGATACAATCAGCGCCATGTCTAAGAACGGATACTCGGTTCTTCAGGACCTGTCCAGCAAGGCTTCTGCGCGGACGGTCCAAGTCACCGTCGTGCCAAGGCCGAATAGATTCTCCGAGAGACGCGCCGTCCTGCACTCGCTGCAAAGATTTGCCAATGTCGAAGTGTTCAAGAAGCTGGAAGTAAGTTTGCGTCTCGCAAGAACCAATGCCAAGGAAGGCTCTCTCGCTGACACCATGAGCTTCTAGAACCACGACTCTTCCTTCATATCCGTTCTCAGCGACAAATCGAAAGTCAAGGAGCTCGTCAAGATAAGCCCGCTCAAGTACCAACTCGCGATGCCTCGATCCAACGGTTCCGTCAAGTCGTTCCTGACCGGCTCGGCCATCACCGGACCCTTTGCCAACGCAAATCACCAGGAAGGGAGCGAGGACGGCGCTGCAGGAACGGACGATAAGAAGGAATTCACGGTGCACATCTTCCCGGCCCCGAGCTACATACACTCTGCGGCCATCAGAGCCAATCCTTTACATGGCGCGTGGCCGACTTCGCGCCGAGAAACAACCATGTCATCTCAATTGAGGGCGTCCTTACCCAAGGATGTCATGACCGACGGCTTGTCGGATTGGGAGAATGGCGGACAGTCGAAATCGTCGACTAGGGGTCAGCTATGGGAAGATATTCTACTCGGCTCGAAATCGGTTGATGTCAAGAAGCGCGCCATCATCGATCGCATCAAGCGCAGAGAGCGAAAAGAAAAGGCACCCGCTATCATGGAAGGCCTGCTACATCTAAAAGAAAGCCAACCCTGATCGCCATTGGGCGCGACAGTACGCGACTTCCTTACAGCAAAAGCTATGTCTAAGCTCTGGAGACGTTGTCCCTGGAGGACCGATCAAACCCGCCTCACGCATCATTGCAGCGATTGCGCGTTGACTTTACCTTCAATTTTACGGCCATAAGCCAAGCCTAAGAACATCTGACAGCTACAGCCTGATCGGAGTTCTAGCGTTTCGCGCTCACTGAAGCGTTCCGGAAACGAAAATTCCGATGAAGGCGACGATTTGGCACGAGGCTCATTGGCGAGATGGGATGGCACCCAGTCAAAGTACGGCTCTTGATTGGATCAGATCATCGGACGGAACTGTTCGAGTTTCGCTTGCTTAACCTAAAATTATGCGGGCCAGGGCGATGCATTGAATGGGAGACCCTGAGTGCAAGGTCAAGAACACCACGAGACGACCGTTGACATTTCGGTATGTCCCGACATCAGATTGCAGAAATTGCAACGACTGTCGAACGATGACGAAGGTGTCCTTGGTGACCGTCGCTAGCAGTGCAACGCAGTCGGGCTCCCTGACGACGAGCTGCAGGTGCTTTTCTTGCCAGAGGAACACATGAGTCGGCAATACGGCAGTAGTCAGCTGAACACAAGGTCGAGACTCTGACGTTGGAGTTGGATTTTTGGTGCCGGGGTCCATTCAAGGCGTGGCGTCATTACAGAGCCACAAAAACAAGGAATAGTGGCAACCTGCAATATCCCAGATCGGCCACGACGCGAGGACCTGACCAATCAGCGGCACAAACTGGATAGTACGTCACAATAGAGCCAAACCCACGTTCCTTTTCCACCGCCAGCTTGTTCGACAATTAAACAAATCTGGACGCGACTAGACGAGCCGACCAACCGTGGCGCGGGGGATGCTTGCGCAAGCCAGGGTCCATTTTCACCCAATTTTCTCCTACAGAGCCACAGAGCCACGAGAAGTTTGAACTTGGGCCCGGGCTGGGCCACGTTGATGACGTCGCACTCGTTGGCTTGCACCGGGACCCTGACTTACACGGCATTCTTGGCCCCGGACGGTGTGCCTAGTGTGGTACTGTCACAGATCACAGCACACATCATGCGAATTCCTGTTTCTTGGGGCCGGCCCAGGGGTCGTGAGACGTTTGTGCTTATATGCGGACGACCTCTCCCTTTCTTCTCACGAACATGTTCATCACATCAGTAGTCCATCGCCACTTGTCTCTTACAACTAAGCCCTACACCAAATACATACACTACACCTAAGCCATCCGGCAGTAGTCCATCTCCATAATCAACATGGCTGTCACCGGCTTCATTCACCACTTTGGTACCTTTTTGCTCCTTGTAGCAACGATCCTTCTGGTCATCACCAGCATCTCTGCTCCAGTGGTGCACAACATCTCACTCTTGACCGTCAAATTGGGCGACACTTCCGCCGGCAATGAGATCACATTTGGTACCTTTGGATACTGCGTCCGTGGCGGCTCTGACTAGTAAGTAATTTCACACAGCATAGAATCAAACTCATAACTAACTCGTCTCCTAGTGGCTCCGACCAGTGCAGCCGTTCCAGGATCGGCTACTCACCCACCGATATCATCGCCGAGGCCGATGCCACCCAGTACTCCAACCTCTCCTCCAACGTCGCCGAGGGCTTGACCCGGGTCATGGTTCTCCACCCCGTCGCCGCAGGCGTCTCCTTCATCGCCTTCATCCTCTCCGTCGGCGCCGGCATGTTTGGCTCTCTCTTCGCCGCCCTCGTCTCGGGCGTTGCCTTCATCATCACTATCGTCGCCCTCATCTGCGACTGGGTCATGTTCGCCGTCGTCCGCCGCAACGTCAACAGGGATGGCAATGGCAGCTCCGCCCACTACGATGTCGCTCTCTGGACCCTCCTGGCCGCCGCCATCTGCCTGCTCCTCGGCACCGTCATCGTCTTCTTCACCTGCTGCAGCGGCCGTCTTCACAAGCGCCGCCAGCAGCGTTCCAAGGTTGACAACTACTCCCCTCCTGCCACCCACACCACCTACCGCCGTCGCCGCTTCTGGCAGCGCAGCAGCCGTTACTAGACTATTCAAATCGGAGAGTTTAGTTGTGGATATCTAGTTGTCTCTTGTCTTTGAGACTATTCAATGTTTTCTTAGCATGACGCGTTTACGAAAATGGCGCCCATGAATCTAGCGCAGGCGTACAACGGGAGGTAATTTGGTAGTTTTACCAGGGGATGGATTGGACGAATACGCTCAGATATGATACCACGCCTGCATCGGCAAGGCATGACTTTTTCTTGTATACTGTTTATTATACCTAATGAACTTTCTCAACCAACAATGTCTTACCACTTGTGATATGTCTTCTGAATGGTAGAAAGGATTCCATTTATTGCGCCTCCGGGCAAGGAGCTAATTTTATTGTCCAATTCTTATCTTGTGCCGATAAGGTTTCACGATCTTTTCATGAGTGTCATATCCCAGCACATGTACAAGTCCGCACGTTCAAAAGGGGTCCCAACGAATTGTAGGTTATTCCGAATTCAGTTCTCTCAGATCCGCGACCTGATAAAACCACATCAGTAAGCGATCTAGGAGAGCACGGGGAAGACATGTGCTGGCGTGATTCCGTGTACTTCCGCAATCAACGGGCTAACCTGAGGTATGCTTTGGTGAAGATCAACCCCACGAAGGGCCTTGCTAGCTTGTTTTCCCGGCCCGATCCGAAGACTCGGCCCTCTGATCTATTCGGCCATGGTTCGTGGGAGTTACGTGCTTTTCTGCCGCTATTGCCCCTCAACCTCCTTCGGACTCTAATGATGGGTGCTCTCACTCTGCCTGTCTATCAGAAAGTACCATACGTATTCAGGCAATTTGCCAGCAGAGTCCCTGTAAACGAGCTGATGGCAGTTCCGTGGTTGCCACTTTATACTATTTCTCTGGTTGGTTTCCCTGGAAGGTGTTTGATACTTGTCGATGTCATCACTTTCCGAAAGGGTTTGCACCTCATATTCTCAACAAACGTCTCCTGCATATGTTCCCCATTATCTGCCAACATGCCTGTTTCTGAGAATGCCGTAATTAAGTATGTATGAAATAGGCTCCTCCTGAGTCTGGAGAGCTCCGAATCAAGGTATCCAAAGCGTGAACTCGATATCTCAATCGAGTGTGTGGTGCTCGGGACGAATTCCCTACTCTGCAATGAGGCCTAAATGGAAGGATCTCAAGAAGCAGGAAAGCTTCCATCAAGATGTGCTGTGGGTGTGCGTGGGTGTGTAGTGACGCAATGCTCAGCCCTTTCAAGGCAACCGCAGCACGAGGCGCCCAAGTCATGCGCTTCAGAACGAGGCCGGGAGCGAATCCATGGTATGCCATTTCAGCGAGTGGGAGTTGATGTCAGTACATCGCTCTGCGGGGTGGCAGCGAATCACAGGCTTAAAAATAGGTGTCATGTTGAATACAGACTGAAAACGTGTATAATTACTGGCAATAATCCCGCAGACCATGTTCGCGCATCTTCGATAAATTTTCTCTACGCACATTGACTCCGAAGTTCTCGACTGGGCTCGCATACGCATTACACTTTGAATCTCTCTGTGAGGTAGATTAAAAGCCTGGCCTTCGAAATCTCTCGCCCTCCATGCCTCGTGTTCGTTTGACCGTTGGTATTTACGACATCGCCGAGCTGGTGAACCAAGGCAGTAGAGCTCTAGTCGCCCTGGAGTCCTTTAACGACAACTGTTTCTACGCACATAATACTACCGGGCGGATGAAAGAGAAACTCCAAGAGCTTCAAGGCGCCGTGAACAGTGCAAAGTCCTTCGCCAAAACGAATCAAACGAGCTCCGATATCAAGGAGAAGATTGTCAAGCACGCTAAGCTGTGCGGCCAACACATCAGCGGCTTAAAGGAGAATCTGGACAATCACACGAAAAAACGATGCTGGGCCAACAAGAAGGAAAGCGCGTTGGAGAATCAAACGAGGAAGAGCACAGCGAGTTTGAAGGACTCAGTTGGCCTTCTCGGATTGAACTGTGTCATTGCCCTGCAGTCGCTCGAGTGGTGCGATCCAATCGACACCAAAGCAGATACGTAAGTTGCCAACCATCCCATGCCTCCAAAGGACAGAGAAATTAATTCCCCAATGTGAATTTCTAGATACCAGTTGATTGCTATGAAAAAGAAGCTTCTGACCAAAATGTACCCTCATAATCTCGCTGATCTCATCAAGCGGTCCATGAATGCCGATGGTAGAGAGGCCCCTCCCACTTTCCCTATTACCCTTGGAAAAGGCGGACAAAAACTATCATCTTCTAGTAGGCCGATAATTGCTATCATGAGGCTCGAAGATTTACCGACGGTGTTGAAAGGACTGAAGACACAGGGAATTGAAACCCAGAGGAGGAAGGGGAAGAGGCGGGTGAAATGAAGGCTTATCGGAGATACGGGCCCGGGGATAAAATTAAGGCAACGACGGTCTTTTTGTAATGGGCAGCGAGGAGTCTTCTTGGTTCAAGCAAAATCGGGTGTGTATGTAGGATATGGTTCCCTGTCTTGATTCTAGTATATCGTGCTTCTTCAGCATGGACACAAATAAATCGATTCATCATCTCGAGTTTGCTATTTTCGGCTCCATAAGTCACGATATCAAGGCCATATCTAGATTGGTTTAGAGTAATTGTCGCCCACCTGAACGATCTTTAAAGCTCCCGTCAGCATTCCGGTGATCATATTGTCTTCGAACTCGTTACCCTCTTGCCCTGGTTCGTATCTACCCAAAGCAGTCAACTGAATCTCACTTCTATAACGATACATGACAGTTTTTTCTGTAAGTCCTCATCACTGGGGTCTTATCTGAGGCAAAGAACCTGCCTCTCATGCACTTTGCGGCACATGATGCTTGCTTGATAGGTGCCATGGACTGACTGCATATGTAGGTGATAAGTCTCAGCCATTACACTGGCCAAAACCTACCTCGCCTGATTTTCCCAATCAGGATACCCTTATAGTCAAAGTCAGGCTTGCTGCGACATAAGCCAGGAGAGCCTGTAGGAAACAGGGGCAGGATTTTTTTTTGGCTCAGTAAAGGGTCCGATGATCTGCTGAGAGTGGTGACACCAATGCATCATCGAAGCCACATATTCTGGGATTTTCGAAATGGGTTATACCCGAGAATATGCCTTTCTCGTTTCTTATACCATCAACTTCTAAGAGTTGAAGGTAGTATCGATGGTCTGTTACAAGCCTCAAGCTGTTTGTACATGAAGCATGGCTTTGACACGCGGGTTCTTGCTTCCAGCCATCGATGTGTCCGAGGTTCTTCTCAAGGGCTTGGCGTGTGCTGAAGGCTTCTCAAAGGTTGAAAACGGACGTAGTTTCTCATCAGGCAGATAGCGCGCTGGCATAGCTGTAGGCTGACATGGAATAATCCTGAAGCACATCGCCCGAGCTGCGATTAGCGAACGAAATCGAGAACTCTTGATATGATAGGTCTAACCAAACCCGAATCAGATTTCGAGGTTTTCGTACGACGTACATGGAGAGAACTGTTTGGAGAAGACGTTCCTGCGAAGCGCCAAAACGCCATTGGCTGCTGATTCCCCATGGTTCGCCAGTTCGCACATATGAAGAGTGTGGTCAGAGACGCCTCGCAACCAGGTCGCGCGTGTACTGTGCTCATTGCCTGAAGTCGAGTGTCAACCTTGTCACTTCTGCGATGCGAGGTAGTAATATATGAACCCAAAGTTTTACTGAACATGACTAACGTTCCTTTGCATTTCCAGCGTCCCTGAGCGGCAGCAATTCTACCTTCCTTTCAAGCTGTACCATTACCAATATTCGGCAGCGGTGCAGAAGTCGTGGTGCTGGCAGAGAGAGTCATTCAAGCTGTGAGACTGTTTCTCAAAAACTGTTACGACGCCCTTACACAGATCGACTCAGTCAAGGAGGAAATATGTCGTGCACGGAAAGCCAACGAGCGCTTTACCAGCTACATCGTTGTAGAAGCTCTAAATCACGGACACTGGAAAGAGATCACTGATGCCGTGAACAAATGCGAGCAATGGTTCAAGAGCATCAGCTTGGACTTGGAGAGATATACAGCGAACATGAATAAATTCTCTCGAGTCAAGTGGGCGTCGAGCTGGAAGTCAAAGACGGAGGAAGACATGCTGGAGCTCAAGCTTCACGTGTCTAGATGCAAAGATCTGCGATTAGAGGCAATGGGCGCATGTCTTCAGAATATCCACAAGCCCATCCAGGAAATGAAAGGAGATGTCACCCGGGGGAAGGAGACCTCCCAGTAGGTCTTTAATCTAGACACCACGATATTGAAAAGCTGACACGAACTTGGGAACACAGAACCATGAAGCCGCCCCACAATGTAGAGACCAAAGTTACTGTCACAGCCAATTTAGCACCTCTACGACCAGGAATTGCAAGGTTAGAGAAGACGGTCATTATCCCCTACCCATTCTCAGCCTCAGACAAGGGAAGCAACGCAAAACAGCAGACAAGCTTACACCCTGGCGCTCCACTCGGAGCTGTCAATCAGGAACCAAGACTTGCCAATGCCTACATTCCTACCGCTCATCAATTCCGTCCGCCATGTCTACGATCTTGGCCAAGTCCCTCAGCCGTCTCCCCCGGATTCAGACCGAAACCAAACATCCCGACTGCTCAAGAAGACCCGAGGAAGTTCGCTGTCCCTTCAAGGACCCAACAGAAGCAGAACTCCGTCCTTCCAACATGTAACCCTCTGCCTATCACCGGGTGTCCCAGTCCTATCACCCCCTCGGTCCCTAACCAGAACTACAAGCCGATTCCAACGTCGCCCGGGCATGCTGATATCACCTATGGCGCGAGTTCGAATGGAACAGACTTGCAAAGGTATCTTAAACTGCCTAAAAAGAGTTGTAACCGCATGACCTTTGATCCCTTTGGAAATGAGACACCAGAGTCAAAACAGAGGCGTGCCGACCTCGCCGCTTGCGAAAAGCCTGATAGCACGCCGTTGGCGTTGAGAAGGGAACTTGGACAGCAGGCATCGCACCCACTGCAGACAGCTTCCACACCCGTACCCAAGAAGCCGCTTGAGAATCGGCGAGCCGGACCGAAATATCCTATTGCCCCTCCGAGCGTCTATACAGAGGCCGACATCGTCCCGCCAGCCAAGGGTTTTGCACCATATCCCAGTGACACAGTTCAGCACGAGAAAAAACCATCGAAATCGCAGGAACATACCTTCGCCTTCAACCGTAACAATATCTATGGCCAGTCAGTACCGATAACCATTCAGGGTTCCACAACAGATTTTCGTGCCCGATTGGGTCTACCAACCAACTTGCGGCTTCCACTACACACCCTGGTGAGCTCAATGGACATTTTTATCAGCTAGTCAGACTTGAACGGAAGGAAAGTGGCGGTGCTTGTAGACGTTTAAACTTTACTGGGTGAAATCTGATCGGGGCAGCGTTAGGAAACACGACAAGTGAACAGTACGTAATAAGCTTCTCCTATGTGCGATTGTTTGTAGCCATTTGCTAATGCCATTGGCTAGATTTGAAGATATAAACAATATCAGGAAGAGGCTCGTTCTCAGCAGCTTGATAATCCGAATGTATGGCACATCTTTTGGAATCGTATCAGGTGGACACGGAGGAGCCCTGGATGCTTGAACGCTTGTACAAAGCACGGCATTCCTTTGAACATGGTCATCTCTTGGACTGAAAAAGCATGGTATAGATCTAGCTTTAGCGTCCCCACTGATGGGTGCAAATAACGTGAGATTTTCAGTACAACATCTCGCGGCTCTTATTGCGAAGAGCTGCGACGGTGTTGACTGTCTCGAGAAGCACCGATCGTATCGTTGAATATTACTGATGTACAGCGGGCTTCTCACGTCGAGCTCAAGCAAAGTGAGAATTTGTGTCGAAAAACTGAAGAACGTTCTTGAAACTTATCGGAGTTCCCTGTATTGTAGAGCCTACGGCAGCGGCATATAAATTTAACTACCAATCATGGTTCCATAGAGTTCCTGGACAAGAAGCCTTCGAGTCGATTTGGACAAGCGTTGCGATGCACGTTGCGTGGGGACCAATCGAGGTTGTGATCTCAGAACGATGCCTCTATCAGGATTGAAATCGAACGGCCTCAACCGTGAGATCTTTGGTCCCTCGGCAGAAGCCGCACCTCAATCTCAAATCTATGTATGTCCTTAGTTCAAAGCACAGTCTAGACTCGTCTAGTGGGCTGCCTCGGCACATGGCAAAGCCGGGGGGGGGGGGGGAGGCTAAGCCAAAGTACGAGGGCAGCGCACAGCAAACATTTCAAATCGCAGCTGCAGGTTAATCATCACACGTGCAGACGCCCAAAAGCTAGAGCTAGGTAGGTGGCTAGGCAGTGACAATCGCGAGAGATAGAAAGGGGCCTTTTCCTCTAAGACTGCAGCAGTGACGAAGAGTTCCGCGTCAGTGCGCATAGTACTAGAGATGACTGCCCGACGGGAGTCAAGCCATCCGAACTGTATCGTTCGCGAGCTATCCTCATTCAACCTAGATATCCAAATTTGGTCTAGACCGGGGTTGGGCTCAGCTCAACTCAGCTCTTGTTGTAAGGAACGCTACCTGAGGTTATTTGATATCTGTCTCAGTAGCTTATCGTGTTTAGGAAAGTGGATTAGGTATCTCAGGAACGCAATCGATTAATGGGATGGCTGTGGTCGTAGGGAATGCTAGATCATGCCTGCGAGAAGAGACATGCGCAGATAGGGAACACTCTCGGTCAGGATGAGATTGGGAACGGAAGGAGAGACGTCAACGTTCCAGTTGAGCCCGTCACTGAGGTTTGGGTTTCGTGGGAGGCCAGGCAGTGATCTGCACATTGTCTTTCGCGTTTTCGCCGCCATGAACTGCGACGAACATGCCATTTGGCGGACCAGAATGCCAGATATCTTGAAGACTTTCCCCTTTCCCCTAGGTTTCAAGTAACACAGTTGCATTAGGCGCACAGAATTGGTAGCGATCAGAGATTCAAATCAAGCCGAGGGTCAGCGGGATTCGCAGCGGGCAAACGGTGACGGCGGCGGCGACGGGATTCGTGTGCGATGTGGAGTTGAATGACCACGGGGTGGGGGCCTGCTGGCTGGAGACATTGAAGTGCTGGTCCTGCTGGAAGATTCATGAATGGAGTGGCGGCGTGGTGGAGAATGGTAAGACGGTCTTCGGCTCGGGTGTTCGGCGCCTGGGAGAGGCTTGGAAGGTTTCTAGTGACGGAACGCCGAGAAGCCTGTGGCTTCCCTTGATGAATATTTCATGGTCTTTGGTTGGTGGGCAGAAAACTTGGATAGAAGGGAAAGGATACATAGGTAAGAACTTGAACTTCCGTTTCTGAAGACGGCAAGATCGGAGGCCGCGTAACGCGGAATGGTCCCCAACTGTGGCTGGGAACGAATCACTGCGCAGTTTTCTAGGTACCCACTCGACTTGTGGCGCAGAATACTTTTACGCTGTGGCCAATCACGGGCAAGGCGCTCGCTCCACCAAGTTTGTTCAGGTCGTCAGGGTCTTTCCGGTGGGAGAATGCAGAATGCCCCCCCCACCTCCGCCCGCCGCATCGC